CATTCTTGACTCGAGAATGCATCCAGCAAACAAACAACACTGCTGTTATCATGCTGAGACTGAGGGAGAGAAGGCTCTCTGGAGAACGAATTCGATCTACATTAGTGCTTATGACGCTGTTTTCTCGTTAGCAGATACACAGATGGAGAGGGATATACGGCAACGAACCCCAAAAAGTATGTCAGTAGACTCATAGAGGCCGATGCGAGAAATGCGCCAATCCAATCGACTCGCACTTGCAGACTTTGCAGTGCCTTTCGTGATGCGCTGAGGCATGAGGTTCTTGGCAAGGCCCACCACCCGATGGCGAGGAGCAACAAGGTAAGGCCACCACATAAATACCATCCCGATCGCCATCCAAGAGTATCGATCAATATACCGCCGACAACTAGGCTAGCTGAGAATCCTAACAGCTGGCTTAATCCTAGGCAAGCAAAGGATAAGTTGCGTCCCCGCCCTTGCGGCTGCACTTGAGTCACAAGGGCCACAGAACTAGACAAGTGTAACGCAGTGGCGACGCCTTGTAAGGCTCTCAAGATAACCAATTCCTCGCCACTCTTGACCAGTCCACAGGTAAGCATGAAGATGCAATTGAGCATGCATCCCAGCAGATTCACTGGTCGTGGTCCCGCGACATCAGCAATAGCGCCCGTGAGCAGCAGTGTTGATGCAGTGGCCAGTCCCTGAACTGACGATGGCCAGAAGGCGAGAGACGGAGGGAGACGGAGATCTTCTGTCAGTTGGGGGAGTCCAATGACTATGAGGCCATTGGTTGCGCTACTGGTAACGCTCACGCCACATAGGTATGCGATTGCAGCAACCTTTCGAAGAAGTTGCTTAGAGGGGACAGTCCCAATGTCAGCCTCTTGAGAGTTTCCATCGATGATACTTGTTAGTTGCACGTCGCTTGCGGATTTTAGCGACAGAGAAGACGATGATTCAAATGATGAAGACTTCATGTTGCCGCTGGCTGTGTTCTAGCTGGATAAGAGAGACTTTGCCGCCAACGAGAGTGTAAATCCTTCTGCTGCAATGCTGCGTGCTATGAAAGGAGGAACGTTACTTTGTTCATACTTGTAGTGGATTGAAGCAGGCTTGCTCGATTGGTATTATCTAAGAACCATAGTTACCCTTTCGCCATTACAACTGATCCGTCGTTCCACAATACCGGTTATTACGACACTGTCAGGGCGGAACTGTGACCAACTAGATCCCAGCAACGGGTGAAAGGCAATTAGAATAAAGATCCAATCCATTCCTACCATTCTGGATCTTACCGTCGGCTGAGGGAGCTATCACAAAAAACCCTTTTTTCACAAGTACGCCAGTAACAATAAAAAGATTTAACATTTAACGGGCTTCAGCTTTACCACTTTGGACATTAGTCATAGGTCACCACCTTCAGACTGAAAGCAACCGCAACCCTAGTAATAGATTTGGATCGATAACTACAGTAACGCACCACGAAACCAAGGTTCTGAACGAAGCGACATATTTCACGTGAACAGTCACTAGAGAAAATCAGAAGCCGCGTTATGCGTTGTTATGTCAGACCCACCACGTTCTGTCTCTTCTATCGCCCCCGGCCACGGTCTCCCATGGTCATGGACTGGCAGACATCCAATCACTGCAACACCATCCTCAGATAGGTTGTCCCCACCTCAAGTTAACTACTTGTATCTGTTAGTACACCCAGACGTTAAGAGGCTTCTCTAGCTGCCGTAGTTCTCGGCATTAGACTTTCGGATTCCCCTGCGATATCCTGGATTCTGCTAATCCCTGAACCTTTCTTTGGAAAGGCGCTGCTTTGGTGGAAGAGATGGTATGCCAGGGAGGTCCTTGCCGGACCAGGCATCTACTTATCACTTGGGTACATGAATATATATGCAGGAAAGAATATCACGTTCATGAATCCTTGTTCGGCTGGAACCCCAAAGTGGGTACGATTTGTATTGTATGTAACATAGCATTTGTAAGGGATCTCCTCGCCAATAAGGAAGGTTATGAAGATACAGCTACCCCTGCGGTTGCGCCTTCCTTGTATGAGGAGCCGTGACTTTAGATTGTGCGTCTTAAAGTCGCTTTCATTTTTAGTTAGAATGAAGTTACTCTAGTATAGACCATATATTTACTGGCATTGGGAAGGAAAAGAGTTCTTAGAGAATCTCACCCGATAAAAGTGATGCTGAACTAACCACAAATATATGTTGATAATGGTTGAACGGAGAGACAGTCCAGGTCAAAGTAAAGGAATCCAATTATGATACATATGGCGTCTCCTACCAAGAAACTGATGGTAAGGCATAAGAACGGAAATTGAGGGATACCTAAGATATTCAAATCCCTTTCAGAGAGGACAGGCCTCTATTTGGTGAATAGAGATGATTATATGTAGAGCACGATGCAGATGGTAGCATTTGCTGTCGTGTTGATTCAAAGCATGCCGCACCCAGATTTGACATAAGCCTGAACCTA